AATCTAGTGGAGTAAAAAGGTATGGTAAGATGTGAAGCAGCAGAAACTAAGTACAGATGCCTCAAATGCACTTATGTCCAGTGCTTTTTCCAACAGTTTGATGCTGTTACTACATTAATGTGACTAGTAAGTATAGGCTGGGAACATTAAGGAAAGATCAGGTGAGTAGGGGAGGAGAGGCTCAGATGTGCAAGAATTATGAATTGATTAGAGAAAACAGTTGTCATTCAAACTCCTGTTTAGCCTCAAAGTGCATCATATAGTGAGAAACCTGAATAAAGAATGCAATAGTCCTTTAATGAATCTTATCTGTGTAAAATGTGCTGGTTTGTACAGGTTTCTGTGATCAGAGTAATTGTTATAACTAGGACAGACATTATAGGACTAACTCCCCCCCATGTATCTTTCAATAGGCCACAGAACCCAGGACAAGAATGTGGGACTAGCAGAGCTTAAATAGTCTCGTGCGTGTCGAGAAGGACCGACAGCGTTCCGGGCCCCTCTCACTCCGAGATATGGACATCAACAGCAAGTTGATCAGGTGAGAGTACTATACTAGCACTGATGGGTTCAGGTCAGCCTGTAATGAAACTTCTCAAAACTAACATGGAACACAATGTAATTGTATAGAACATTTCATTCTTTGTTCCAATCTGACCCATCTTTTCCACTGACAAACTTCCTAGTTTGATGTATGGTGTTTTAAGACAGTTGTGCATATTAGCGTCTTAAGTGCTTTCACTCTGAGTTTGTACATAGGGTCAGAATGAACTGTAGTGTAACAGTTTCACTTACTGTATGTGAATGAAGCCTTGTTGTGCCTTAAACCAAACGGTCAGAGCCTGTATTGCTTTAGTAAAACCTTTGTGTTCTATCTGTAATGTTTATGGTAAACATTGTCCTAACATAGTGACTGACCACTTCTGTCAAGTGAAACACAGCCAATTGATAATACAGCTGGTAAATGGAATAATTTTTTTAATTCACTGTGGATAAACTTGTGTGGTGGAATTGGCTGTCACAGGTTCTGATCCTCTAAATGGCCAGAAGCAAGGCATCCATGGCTCTGGAGTTCTTCCTTGATGCTGCAAAGAAACCTGACTTTACATCCAGGTACTGTTGTTATTGATAATTTCACTTAACTACACACTGATCAGGCATAACATTATGACCACCTGTACGCACGTCAGTGCAATACTCTGCCTTAACATTTGTGTTTATGAAGCTCAAAATGTACAAATTCAATTATATGTTCATTGTTCAGAAGTGTCTGTATATTTTGTCCTGCCCATTGACATGGGGGTCAGAATATTAGGAACACCTCTGAATATAATGCAGTCCAGTACAACACCATCTTTAACTATGACCTCAATAATGAACACATAATTGCATTTGTACATTTTGAGCTTCATAACATTTGTGTTTAACTTCTTACAGTGGTGGGGCCGTACAGTTTCTGTATTCACCCTTTCATTTCAGAGTCGAGCAGTCAAGGTATAGACCTGTTTTATGGGAAAGGTAACCTTAAATGACCTCTGTTGTGATCTGGCGCTATATAGAGAGTAAAATTAACTTGACCTTCTTTCTTTGAGTCTTATCCGTTTTCTTTACTTTGTCTGCCTTTAACCTTTGACCTTGAGTTCATCCCAAGTTCAGTGGAACCTCAGCACCATTTGTGAAGAGCAGATGCGTAGAGAGACAAGGGCCGCCTGCAGCCACTTGTAATTTACATAAATTATTCTTCTTCCTTAAAACCCTCACATTTTGTCTCCCTCTGTGTTTTATCAGCGATTTCACCAAGTGATCTCAGCGATGAATCAATAAGATATGTAAATGAGACAAGTGGGTGTTGTGAGCATAGAAAAGCAGAAAGAGATGAGTTGTGCTTATTAATCTGCAGTGTGACGCCTCATCTTCACACCGCCTGCTGTTTCCCCCACCTCCCTCTGGAACTATAGTCACTAATCTGTTTGGCACTTTGACGAGTCAGGGAAAACCAGGGGAACCAGGCTGAGAGAGAAAACCATTTTAATTAGGTGTTTGGCACCGATACATGGAGTTGTCACACTCGCACAAACAAGGCTGTCTCAAAATTAAATAAATCTGGATATAAGAAATTTGTATTTAGATGCACATTGATAAATAATCTGAGCTGTGTTTGACATGAATGTTTACACTGCCCTGCTTCACAGCAATGAAAAAAAAGTTTACAAGCACAGGGACACGTGGACGCCACAGAGGAAATACACATATTCAAAATTCAGGGAGTTGTCTGAACTTCAGTGTCGGCCCGGTTTGCTCTGTCAACTCACAGCTTTGTCATGCTTCAAAGCCACACGGCTGCAGCGATGTGCTGTGGAGAGGTAGAGGTCGCTCGTCTCTGAACAGCTGTGTGTGTGAGTGTCTTGTTACCAAACCGATTGAAGGGCAAAGAGCACTCACTCGGATGAGACAAAAGTCAGCTGACGGTCAGTGGCGGTGGTTGTTAGAGCGTGAATACATTTGAAGGGAGACAGTTTTCTCTGGTTTCACCTCAGCTCAGATGTTCATCTCGTTTGTTCCGTCGATAATTATCAGCCAGGTGCTCAGTGCTGCTGTATTTACCCTCTTTCCGTTTACAGTGACCATGAACACCTGACAGATAATTATCGACGGAGCAAGGCCCGATGAAACCCAGTCCCAGGGAGACATTTTGTTTGTTACATGCTTGTTCCTGGTCGGGGGACAATGCAGCCAGATTTTTGGTGGTTCCCTCATGATGGCATGTGCTTCCCTTCCATCTCGACCTTTTCCCCAGTTCAGTCACATCAGGCCTCAGCTTTTAAGCCTAACAGGCGCAGCAGGGAGCGCCGGGGTGCTGCCGGCAGGCTGCAGGGTTACTGACAAAAAAAGCAAGCGCACATAAATCCAGTCAAAGAGAAGCCAACTGTGTAGCAGGTCACCTTCTCTGCTCGCTGTGCTCTGAGCTGCGAGTTTCACTTTGAAAACTTTCAGAAAGTTCTGTGAAAATGATGCTGTAATTACAGTCTCCTTTTTCCTGCAGGAGGGAAGTGATGACTCATCCTTCCACTCCTCCATTATCTCATATCTTGGTCTCTTTGTAGTTTGCTCTGAAGGAGTCCCTGATGGCCAAGAGACCAGAGGCCAGGAGGTGTCCGCTCACTTTGCTGTGCCACTCCGGCGACCGATCCCTGGAAGAGCAAACACAGATGGGAATGTTCAGCGAGAGCAGGTCATCTGAACAGAGAAACTACTTAAACTTCACAGCAAACTTTCAGTTATCGTTAAAGTGCATTTAGACCACGCCCACATTTGGGGGGGGGGGGGCAAGAAACTCCGTGGATTTTTTTTTGGGGGAAGGTGGTCTGAAAAATGCCTAAAAGCTGCTGTGTGACAGGATGCTGTACCCACAAGGTAAAGTGACAGCTTTAAATGCATCTTCACCTGGTGTCTGTTCGACAGATGTGTGTCAGCCGGGTCTTCCTGGCTCCTGTTTGCTCCAGCAGGTAGAGGCAGGGGGGGGCCCCACCACCGGCAGCGGGTTGTGCTCTGTGGATACAGAGGACAAGTAGAGGGGGCCGCTGGACGGGTCTGCCTGCCAGGTCCTGAAGAGGAGGGTGAAGATGAGATCACAGGACGGAGAATCAACAAGTGCTTGCAGTTTACTGTTAATACTGATCTGCTCACCGCCTGTATGGGGTTTGAAATAAAGATGGCAAGAAAATAAAAATGTGCACTGTTTATTGAGATGCGTCTTAGAGCACTAGGCCAAGAAAATGCTCTTAAAGGACAAGTCTGATTTTGTTTTACTGTCAGTAAGCCTCAGGCAAAGGGCAAAAGCATTCTCTGTGTAACCAGTCAGACTTCGTTGATTAAAATCACATCGAGCCACAAGTTTGATTCCTACACTGCTGAAAATCATCAGGTTTTACCAGATTCTTTAGTATCAGAGTAGTTTAGCAACAGTATAAGTGAACTGTTAATAACTAATTGGGCGTACCGAGTGTTCCAAGATGTAAACAAATATAGACGGTCCTCAGAGTTGCTACCTACAGTGTAACTCACTGTGGCCTGTACATGAACTGAGCAGGAGCTGGACAGCTTCAGAACCAGTTTGAGAAACACTGGCTTTTTAAGGTTTCCTCAGCAAACTATTGACCTAATTCTGACTGCACATCCAGCAGTGAGGTAGGCAGCAAAATGAACTGCTAAGAGCTGATTCAGTTTACTCAGTGTTCCACAATGTAAACAGGCCTGTAGCTAAAAACACCCTGTATCCATGGCAACATTACATAGCCTACAGCCGACTTCCTGTTGTCAAAGTTGACATCTGTTCACAGGAGTGATGATTATTAATGTTTGATGCTTCGTCTTAACCACGAGCTCCAGAGACCCGGATGTTGTAACTGCCTGTTACCGTGGCTATTGAGGAAGACGGAGGCATTACCAGCTGTCTGATTTAACCATCTGGATCCAGTGTCCTAGAGTCTACAGAGTACTGGGCTCCGTGCACAATGAGTATGAGCTTAAATATCCATTTTACACAAAACTCTTTTTTTTTGGCATTGTATTTTGTAAAAAAAATCGCATCGAACCATAAAAGCTGATTCCAGTGAACAGATCATACTTTTACAAGAAAGAGTATATTGTTGCCATAAAACGAGTCAGCGCGGCCGCGAATGAACTGTTATCACTTTATTTCAGTTATGTGCTGTTCTCCTGAGAGAATCACGTTAAAACTGATGAAACCTTAACAAGCCAGTCCTGAAGCTGTCCAGCTCCTGCTCAGTGCATGTGTAGGCCACAGTGAGTTACACTGTAGGCAGCAACTCTGAGGCCCGGTGGGGGTCTATAACGCTAGGTCCGCTAAATTAGCCAAGAAGAGTTCAGGTTTGCTGTGCGCTGTTTACTCTGATACTAAAGAATCTGTTAAAACATCTTTCTTTTACCTGAGCAGCAGGTGCTCCTGGGGGGGCCGGGAGCCCAGGCTGTGGCCCCGGCTCAGGAGGAGGTAGCGATAGACTTCAGTGTCCTCGGATAAAGTCTGGATGACAGCGGGCTGGTGGAGGCTTCCCCCCCACAGGTCGTGCTCCCTCAGCAGCCGGTGCAGCAGCTCCTTCTGGGGGCCTCCACCTCCACGGAGCCGCGCCACATCCACAGCGGACAGCCGTCGTCCATCTGGGCACGAGTGGAGAAAGAGAGTTAGTAGGAGCCACCAGGACGCGGTGATAAGGGTCTAAAACACATGAACTGATGTTACACGTTTACATGTCTTCTGTCACAGAGCTATGACAGAATGATAACTGGAAGAGTCTAGTTTTAAACTGAAATGATGTTTAGCTTTGATGGTCACCAGTCGTGTGTGTCCACAGAGCTGCTGTCAGTCTCCAGTAGATGGGCAACTGATTTATTAAAACTAATCTTCACTGGTGAAAACTGCACTAATAAGTTGCCCAAAGCAACTGTTATCAGCCCGATCTGGCAACGCTGGTGTTTCCTCACTATCTCAAAACGAAGGAAACTAGCACGCCATGCTGAGCAGACCATCACAGGTGGATTCAGCTACTCAGTCGAGTTGCTGAAGCCTTGTATTAGTTCATGTAACGCAGGTCAGCATGGAGACGAGGAGCGACTACAACTGCCTCTAAATGTGTGGCTATGCAAATAAGATTCAGATTCGACTTGAGCTGTGAACCTCTGTTGCATCTCACTCACCTCTAATTTCCTGCTGTCTCTCCACTGACACCATTTAAATAAAGGCATAAAATGCTCATAAAGATACTTTGGAAAACAGGAGACACATCCTTTAATTGGATTTTCTGCATTCGCTCTTTTTTTTCTTTAGCTTTTTAATGTTGAGTGGTCACTTTGGCTTTGTAAGTTCAGTGCTCATTATTTATTTATTCTTTATCATTTTCACGCATTTATATTTAAGATACTTTTTTAGCATTTCCTGCTTTGTTGTTTACCCGTGATCTAGAAAACAACTTCAGTCACAGGGTCTTTGCTTCTTGCCTAGTTTCTATTTGTGTCCCAGTTTAATTCTACATATCAAATTATAGGTATTTATTAATACAAACCTTCATGATGTAAAATGATTTAGTTTACATGTATAAAAATGAAACTTTTGAATGTTACTGTCAATCAGTCCCCACAGGGACAAATCAAAATGCCGAGGTGGCAAGTAACTACTGTAAGTACTCAAGTACTGTACTTAAGTACAACTGTGAGGTACTTGTACTTTACTGTGGTATTTCCATTTCAGGTTACTTTTACTCCACTACAATTTAGAGGGAAGTCTTGTCCTTTTTACTCACTCCATTTATCCGACAGTTTTATACCCAGACAGTAAATGGATTATTATGGATTTGCCAGCTGGTAGAGCAGCAGAGCATGAAGTGGTTAAAACTGGCTCCACCTTTAGCAGCTGAGCTGTTTTTGCTCCACACCGAGTCACTACACAGTCACACAGATCTCAGCCCCTGATTTACTTTCACATTAAAATACAATGTTTGCTTTCTGGAGTACTATATCTGCACTTCAAGTACATTTTACAGCATCTATGTACTTCAACTTGAACTTGAGTAAAGACTTTGAAGTGGTGCTTCTACTCATAGTGGAGTAGGACTTGAGTACTGAGTTTGTGTACGTCTGTGCCACCTCAGGTAAACTGTTTCCAGAGAACCTTTTTATTTTATTTTATTGTCTGGCATCTGTCTGTCTAGATGTCATCTGCTCCTAGAATGATCATCACTCTGTTTCTTTTCCACTGGCTCTGTACTCGCAGCCCAGCGGTGGCATCAGTGTGTGGGATGGAAGTGAAACGTCGCCTCCCTCCACTCACCTTCGTAAAGGCCAGCTCCACGTGCTCTGGAGCCGGATGGCCCTCCCACTCTCTGCTCTTCTCCCTAGCCTCCTTCAGGAGGAGCTGGGTGCTCTGCTGCAGCTTGTTCCTTTTCTCCCGCTGCTCCTCCTCCTCACCTCCACTTTGATTGGGTGACACCGGGCCTCCCGCCTCCTCCGAGTCCACGCTGGGGCCGGCAGCACTTAGACACTGATCCAGCCAAAACTCTGGAAGCTACAGGAAGGATTATGTGATTTATTTTATCTCTAAACATGCCTGAGCTCCAAAAATGTTCCCTATGATGAAAATAAATACAGTCTGTGTGTAGTTGCTGCCTGTGGAGCAGGTGTTTATACCTGGAAGAGTTTTTGGGCCTCAGTGATCATACTGGCCAGGCCCTGGGTGGCAGCCAGGGTTTCACTCAGGTCTCGCTGATCTGGGCGGTCCAGGCTGTACTTCCTGTGGCTCGACCTACAGCAACGACAGCACAAGAAACACATGGGACTTAGAGCTGAACTCAGTGTCTGGTAAAGGAAAAGCATCAACACTTATGTGCAAATGAAAAAGGAAGGAAGGACAAACTGACTGGTTCAGCTGCTGCATTGCTCCGTGCTTTCGTTTCCACTGTGCTTTTTGACAGTTTTGGGACAGGGAATAGGAAGAAGTTGTTCAACATATGACATGTTCACAGCGCAGGTAGCGCACGTGGAAGTCAGGAGCACCGCAGCACAGTTACTGCAAGTGACACTTTCAGGTTGTTTGAAAAGATTAATTTTGCACTACTGACGTTTACTGGAAGCTGAAAGATTTACAGGAAGTTGTTCCCCTTGATTCCATTTGATGATGACGTTTATATTTTAAGGTGTTATAGTCTGAGACGAATCAGAAAAAGAGGAGGGCGGTTCTGTCACAGCAAAATCATATCCATCCACTGTCCTGTCAGCATGAAGGGAGGAAAAGAGCCAAGGTGGAAATAGGAAGGAAGGAAAGTACATAAGGAAGAGGAGTGAGTGAAAGTAGAGTTATTACAAGAATAAGAGAAAAGGAGGAGACGCATGTTTGGGTGACAAAAGAAAAACAGAGGAGAAAAGACCGCACTTTAACAACACAGGGTGGAGAAGCTGGAATAACAGCAGAAGGGCTGTAGGCAGCAGAGGGTCATGAAGGGGGGGGGGGTAGCTGAGAGACACCACGTCCTGTCCCATTATCACTGGGGCTACGAGAATCTGGGTTGGTGCACCTTTAATTTAATAAATCCTTTACATAAGTATGACAGAGTCAGCAAACATGCACTAACAATGTGGTTATGTGTACATTTTTACATCCTTAACACTAAGGAACACATTCATGCATCAACGCAGTGAACACACTTATGCAGCACAAAGTCTGAGCTCTGAGGTAAATGGTCAGGACACACTGGGCAGACGCAGTGTCTCTTAATAATTCATTCAAATCACCAGCTGCATAACCTTTATCGTTCTCAGTAGTCTCGCTCTGTCTCCTCATTTTACCGTTCTCTATTTCAACTTTCTTTTCCTCCTAATTTCTAACTTCCTGCCCAGCAGGGCTCTCAGCTCAACATTAGACAGAGAATTTCTCTCATATCAGGGAGTGAAGATGAGGCCAGACAGAGATTGGTCATGTGCTCTCTGTGTGTAAACTGAGCCGAGAGCTTTTCATTACAGAAAAAAGTGTGTGACATCTAGATCAGATCCAGAAGGAACAAAAGCAGGACGAAGCAGTGTATTTCTGTAGCACCACTAAAAGCGAACACACATTCAGACACACGTGCTCTGTTGTGGGCTCGGCTCACCTGGCTACACCGGCGTCTTTTTTCAGGGTGCTGAGGTGGAAAAGTGACGGCGCCAGGCAGACGGCGATGTTGGTTGGAGTCATCTGGTTCTCATCCACACAAGCCACCACATCCCGCAGGAAGAAGAGCAGGGTTCGCAGCGCCTCCCTGTTCTCGTCAGGAAGCAGCAAGATGGCTGCCTGAACAGCAACCAGCTGCTGATCCTTGGGAAAATCTGCAGACAGAAAGCACATCAGTTAATATTTTACTTACTCAGGACAAGAGAATAAAGTTAAACCACTGCTCATCTGAACACTCTTTAACTCTATTTAATGCTGTTAACAGTAACTGCTCACATTGATAAATGTGAAGGAAGGACTCGCAGAGTTTGCTGGTGAAGATGGGTTCGGGCAGGTCTCTGAAGTACTGCTTCACCATGTCGGCTATGTCGAAGGCAGACTGACCATCGTAGGAAACGCCATCAGGATTGGACTCCACCAGCTCACGGAGGTACTGGATACGAGACTTCACCCCTGACTTCCGGAAAAGACCCACCTAAGAGACGGCACAGTACAAATAAAATAAAACTAACAATAAGTGCAAGAACTGCTGTAGTTTTTGACTGGCCTAAACTTTTTCTTTTACAAACACACTGCAATAACATTTGTTTTAATAAATGACTCAGATTTTTCCAAAAACAAGAAGCCATCGGATACCACTGCCTCTAAATGATTTTACAAGGTCTAAGTGGTTTTACTGTTGTCAGACTCAAAAGAGCCACCTGTGACCTTTGGTGTCATTACCTGGTCCAGACATTCAGTCCTCAGGTAGACCAGGGCTCTGAGGATGCTGGGAGGAAGCGGCTCCCCGGTCTGCTGGACGTTGAGAAGCAGAGGAACCCCGAACACCTGCCGACCTCTAACCTCACTCACCTTGGTCTTCCTCGGGGGTTTGGGAACAGTCCTGCAGGTGACAGAGAAAAATAATTAGTCAAACAGTCAGAGACAGAGGAAAAGCAAACAGTGAGTTATTTCCAGAGAAAAAGAATAAAAGTCTTTTGTGTCTGTGTTGAAACATTATTGAGACTCTTGAGAAAAAAGAAGTTTGTTTTGACTCATGGGTTTAAAAAACTATATGTCTGCGGTGGCACTGCTGCAAAAACAAGTAGAGGGCTCAATACAAAAGATAAAAAATGGATATACATTTAAAAAGAGGCAATTTGTGTTTCTTAGCTATTTTTACAATAACCACAATAAAAACTAAATCTTTAACTTGTTAAAAAACTAGCTTTGAGATGTGTTTTGGTCCCAGTCTTAGTTAAAGACACTATAAGCCCTAACAAACTGCACTGTGGCTATCTTACTGCTGCTACTCGTTGAAGTTTACTCTCACATGAACTGAACCTGAGGGGAACGAATTTAAATGTTCTGCTCCACACCTGCTGCGTGAGTGTGCCTACAAACAACAGTTTTCACAGCTGCAGCCTGCAAAATATGTGAAATGGGGACGTGAATTCAAAACAATCTCCGCCAGGTGTTGTTCTGTGTTTTTACCACCGACCTGAACCACCTTCTGCACATCATGATGTATGAAATGTTAGCTGCATGAGCGAGAGAGAGAAACAAAAATACTGGATGGAGACAGACAGATGATGTGAAGAGGAGGACAGAGACATGGTGTGACCATCTGATAAAAGAGGATGTAGCCTTAAACTACCCATAGCTCCTCAGCATGCACCAAAGATGACATAACTAAACTTCGCTCTGATTTCCCAGAAACACAGGCCTGAGGTAAGGCACCTGCAGTTCCCCCTGGGGTTCCTCTGAAAAACAGTTTACTCCTCTCGAAGCAGCTGGTTTTTTTACACCGAGGCTAGGCTGCACCTGAGCCATGAATAATGAATGAATTTTCTAAATAGGCTGCCTAAAATATTTACCCTCCACCCACCCACCTGCCCTCCTTTCCACAGTTGATACCTTGAAAAATTTTCTCCACACAGATGTGCAGGAGCAACAGATCTAAGAATACTGTTGTTTTTACCCAGTTTCTCATCTTCCATCGACTCCGCTGAGTTTGTCCTTGACCTCTGCTGCACCCTTATGTTTATATTGAAGCGTGAAATTGTCCCAAATATTCCCAAAGCCTCTGTCCTTTCCCACTTCTTACCAGTTCCATCCCTGCTTGCTCGATGGGGAGTACTTGTCCATTAGAGCGGTGAGTTTGAGCAGGGAGAGTTTCTGCAGCAGGAGGAACTGGGAAACAGACTGGTTCTCAGCTCGTGGACTAGTGGGCAGGGAGGGTAGGCTCTGCTCGCTGGACCAGCGCAGCTGCCGGCTCACTCTGCTGAACACAGTCAGTACAGGTGAGTACGAACACAGACATGCAGTTCTATCACAGGATAAACAAAGGAGACAAATGGGAAGCTATTATCTCCCAGAGTCGTGTGCATTCTTGAGGAAAAAGTGTCTGTATCTGATCTTATTACAGAAGATGTTACCAAATATAAATGATGGTTGTTGGCTCAATAATTCTGACAGCAGAGACTTTGTATCTGTTGGAGCAGACCAACCAGAACAGACACCGTCTGTAACTACATGCTCTGATCTTTTTAGTTATCCCAATAAGATCTATAGATGTGTATCAAGCCATAAGCATAAAAGAAATAAAGTTTTACATGACACACATCAGGAAGAGAAATGCAAGCAATGAAAGTCGTTTCTCCTGTGACCATTTCTAGGACCTATCACATTCAGATTCATCAGCCTCAGGTTTATACTGTCAGTCACAGCTACATGGTTAGCATGCTAATGTTTGTGTATACCTGTCGGGTTTGACTCACTTTTCATCAGTGTAAAATGCATTTGTTAACACTTAAACTGTGCTTACAGCACTATTCCATACTGTCTAATGAATACTCAGCACACACATTCAATAATGAGCAGTGCATTTAGATTTCAGACACTTAAGGGGATATTTAGTTTTTGCAGCTCAGTTCTGGAGATAAACAGTGATAATGTGTGTTTTCATACTAACTAAGGGGTCACAGCGGGGTTTTTTGCACTGGAGAAAAAGAATAGCATCGCAGGAATTTGTAAATCAGGTCTCATACATTATGTATTTTAAGGCGTTCCCGTTCAGGGACGCAAAAAACAGTGAAGGGAGAATGTAAATTATTCCGAATTCTCTCAATGCCTGATTTACCACCGCTGTGCCAGATTGAACTGTGGCTGAAAGGTAACGTCAGGAGAAAGCAGGTGTACAGTTTGCAGCCCTGCTGTCAGCTGCCAGTCATCTGGGGATTAAGTAGGTTTGGGGAGGGAGAGGGTGTTTGTGAATCACAGCGCTCGCAAGACGAGAATGTGAGGGACTTTTACAGGCTTCAGGTCAAACCATGCTTCAGTTACTTAACAAAATAAAAGATGATTTGACTGGTAAGAGACCATGTGACTGCTGTCCTGAAATGCAACTGTTGGTTTCTTCAACCATATTAAAGTTCAGTCACTGTAAACAGAGACTTTCTTCTACATGCAGATTTTTTGTGGAATTTTTACGGCACTACACAGAGGACATATTTACAAGCTGAGCATTTGGACACTCAGGTAAAATAGGGTAACACACTATATGTAGTATCCACATTTCCCTCACTATGCTAATGCATGTTAGTGAAACTTGCTACACTGATGGTACGGTTAGCTTTATCTCACAAAAGAGGCTATATCTGAGAACAAATGTGCAATAGCTAACAGCTAAACAAAAAGGCAATCAGAACTCTCCACCATGAGGCAAATACTTTATCTTAAGTACCTCACACTAACCTCACTCTGTGGTTGATGCCTGGGAGATTTACTCCTCATAATTGTAATTATTAGTGCCCTGCCTGCACTCACAAATTCCAAGGCTACTTCAGGCATCCAGTATTTAGTTTGTATATCTCAGACCTCATTTGTAAGTTAGTCTTTGTGCCAGCTATCCTTTTCATAATTAGTTTTACCAGCACTTACGAATCACTTCCAGTGTTATTTGCTTATGAGATATGACACGTTACGCTCTAAGCATTCTCACCTGGTTTTGTTTTGTGTTGATCTCATGTTCGGCTCCTTCACCGGTGCCTTCTCGCAGCTATCTGCGTCCTCCTCCTCCACCTCAGTTTCCTGTGAATGCTGCACTTCCAGGTGGAGGCGTCGTGGGGAGGAGGAGAATGGGGAGGTGGCCGAGGAGCCGTGGACAGGTGAGTCTTGGGAAGAAGAGGAGGAGGAGGATGAAGTGGAGGAGGAGGAACCTCTTTGACAGTTGTCTTCAGACAGATGTTGGGACCAGGTGGAGACCAGTTGCTGCAGGTCGCTGATCCTCTCCAAAACGCTGTCCAGAGCAGAGAAAACGTCTTCATTTGACAACAGCCGCCTCACCTGAGAGATGAAGAATGTTTGGAAAAATTTGCAGGTGAATTCCCCCAAAAGTCACTCTTTATTTTTCATCATTTTAACTATAAAGAAGTAGGACAAAACATTTGAACCCGCTCAGTCATGACAGACTTGGTTTTGTGTTGATAGCTTTAAAACTCCTCTACCTAATTTCTTTTCGGCCTAGAGGCAAAAAACAGTGAAGGGAGAATGTAAATTATTCCGAATTCTCTCAATGCCTGATTTACCACCGCTGTGCCAGATTGAACTGTGGCTGAAAGGTAACGTCAGGAGAAAGCAGGTGTACAGTTTGCAGCCCTGCTGTCAGCTGCCAGTCATCTGGGGATTAAGTAGGTTTGGGGAGGGAGAGGGTGTTTGTGAATCACAGCGCTCGCAAGACGAGAATGTGAGGGACTTTTACAGGCTTCAGGTCAAACCATGCTTCAGTTACTTAACAAAATAAAAGATGATTTGACTGGTAAGAGACCATGTGACTGCTGTCCTGAAATGCAACTGTTGGTTTCTTCAACCATATTAAAGTTCAGTCACTGTAAACAGAGACTTTCTTCTACATGCGGATTTTTTGTGGAATTTTTACGGCACTACACAGAGGACATATTTACAAACTGAGCATTTGGACACTCCGGTAAAATAGGGTAACACACTATATGTAGTATCCACATTTCCCTCACTATGCTAATGCATGTTAGTGAAACTTGCTACACTGATGGTACGGTTAGCTTTATCTCACAAAAGAGGAACAAATGTGCAATAGCTAACAGCTAAACAAAAAGGCAATCAGAACTCTCCACCATGAGGCAAATACTTTATCTTAAGTACCTCACACTAACCTCACTCTGTGGTTGATGCCTGGGAGATTTACTCCTCATAATTGTAATTATTAGTGCCCTGCCTGCACTCACAAATTCCAAGGCTACTTCAGGCATCCAGTATTTAGTTTGTATATCTCAGACCTCATTTGTAAGTTAGTCTTTGTGCCAGCTATCCTTTTCATAATTAGTTTTACCAGCACTTACGAATCACTTCCAGTGTTATTTGCTTATGAGATATGACACGTTACGCTCTAAGCATTCTCACCTGGTTTTGTTTTGTGTTGATCTCATGTTCGGCTCCTTCACCGGTGCCTTCTCGCAGCTATCTGCGTCCTCCTCCTCCACCTCAGTTTCCTGTGAATGCTGCACTTCCAGGTGGAGGCGTCGTGGGGAGGAGGAGAATGGGGAGGTGGCCGAGGAGCCGTGGACAGGTGAGTCTTGGGAAGAAGAGGAGGAGGAGGATGAAGTGGAGGAGGAGGAACCTCTTTGACAGTTGTCTTCAGACAGATGTTGGGACCAGGTGGAGACCAGTTGCTGCAGGTCGCTGATCCTCTCCAAAACGCTGTCCAGAGCAGAGAAAACGTCTTCATTTGACAACAGCCGCCTCACCTGAGAGATGAAGAATGTTTGGAAAAATTTGCAGGTGAATTCCCCCAAAAGTCACTCTTTATTTTTCATCATTTTAACTATAAAGAAGTAGGACAAAACATTTGAACCCGCTCAGTCATGACAGACTTGGTTTTGTGTTGATAGCTTTAAAACTCCTCTACCTAATTTCTTTTCGGCCTAGAGGGTCTCTCACACCTGCCTTCACACACGGTACAGAGTGGTAGACACACCGGGCTTTAAGAGGTGGTACTCTAGGTCTTGTTCTGTTCAGTTCGGTTCAGAGCAGCAGATTTTATTTTGTGATTATATTTCTAGTGCAGGCTGGTAAGTGATGCAATAACTCCAGATTAGGAGGCCTCTTTTTGTCTCAATTGTTTCATTGTTTTGAGCAGCATCTGCTGCCTCAGTTTGCCCTGCCTCCCTTTTATGTTTATCTCCACTTGTTATGCCTACCTGCTCAAAGCTTTTGAAAGCCTTCCAGTTCATGGCAATAAATAGCTTTTACTAAAACCTATACATCAGGTTATTTATGTTGCCTCGCTTTCCCCCAATGAGCTGGGTCATCACACTTTTAACATCTGCTTTGCCAGAACTTGCCTTATAAACCTGCCTATTTACAATTCTTTTGTTTTTATATATCAGAAACATGGTCCAAGCCAAATAAAGTAATGAAATAAAAAGAAATAAATTATCTTTGTACTGTTGCTTTTATTTTAGGGTGCAGGATTGTGACATATAACCTCTTCAGAAGATGTTTCTGTTAAATCTATGCTTCTGCAATATAACTTACCGACTTATAAGTGAATGAAATGAGTACCAAGTCAAAAGTTACTTTACAGTTCATCTAAACTACAGGGCACCGTATTAAGGCACTTACATAGCAGCTTTTGTTATGAATTGATGTTATGAATAATGACTAAAATCTGTTTTAGCAAGCACAGCACAAACCTTAGGCATCATTTAACAAAGCAGTTAGTGGTATAATATTAGAAATCTTATTCTCACCTGAAAAGAAAAAACATAATATGAAATAAATACTTTTTTTAGTGAGTGTACAAAATAGATATGTGTCCTTTGACCCACCTCTGACTCGTCACCCATCGGCTCTGTGTCGCTGCCCCCTTCACTTTCAGACAGCTGCTGGTTGCCAGGCACGTTGTCGTAAATACTCAGCCGGTGATCCAGCAGAGGGTGGGGGCCAGCGTCGGCAACATCACAACAAGGTGAAGATGAGGTGTCCTGGTTACTAGTGGCCAGCGAAGATGTGCCATGGGGGCACCTGTTCTGACGCCGGTAACCGTGGAAGCTCCCGGTCCTCCAGTTGATGGCGTTCAGGATGGAGTGTTTATGTGCAAGGGAGGTGGGGAAGGTCCCCGGTTTGTGTCCGTGAGGGACCTGGAAGACCAGACTCTCATGGCTGCTGCTGTTGAGCTCGTTCTTATAATTCTAACAGGATTAAAAATAAAAGCAAGAAGGAAAATTCAGTATATCCATCTATGTGGATACTACTGGTAGAAGTTATTACCCAGCAGTGCACATTAAATCACTGTGAACAGGTTCAAACACATGCCGTTCAGATGTTCTTGGTGGATAAATCTAATGGTCTAGATCAGGGGTCGGCAACCCGCAGCTCTTCAGCCTCCTTGGCTATATCTGAGAACAAATGTGCAATAGCTAACAGCTAAACAAAAAGGCAATCAGAACTCTCCACCATGAGGCAAATACTTTATCTTAAGTACCTCACACTAACCTCACTCTGTGGTTGATGCCTGGGAGATTTACTCCTCATAATTGTAATTATTAGTGCCCTGCCTGCACTCACAAATTCCAAGGCTACTTCAGGCATCCAGTATTTAGTTTGTATATCTCAGACCTCATTTGTAAGTTAGTCTTTGTGCCAGCTATCCTTTTCATAATTAGTTTTACCAGCACTTACGAATCACTTCCAGTGTTATTTGCTTATGAGATATGACACGTTACGCTCTAAGCATTCTCACCTGGTTTTGTTTTGTGTTGATCTCATGTTCGGCTCCTTCACCGGTGCCTTCTCGCAGCTATCTGCGTCCTCCTCCTCCACCTCAGTTTCCTGTGAATGCTGCACTTCCAGGTGGAGGCGTCGTGGGGAGGAGGAGAATGGGGAGGTGGCCGAGGAGCCGTGGACAGGTGAGTCTTGGGAAGAAGAGGAGGAGGAGGATGAAGTGGAGGAGGAGGAACCTCTTTGACAGTTGTCTTCAGACAGATGTTGGGACCAGGTGGAGACCAGTTGCTGCAGGTCGCTGATCCTCTCCAAAACGCTGTCCAGAGCAGAGAAAACGTCTTCATTTGACAACAGCCGCCTCACCTGAGAGATGAAGAATGTTTGGAAAAATTTGCAGGTGAATTCCCCCAAAAGTCACTCTTTATTTTTCATCATTTTAACTATAAAGAAGTAGGACAAAACATTTGAACCCGCTCAGTCATGACAGACTTGGTTTTGTGTTGATAGCTTTAAAACTCCTCTACCTAATTTCTTTTCGGCCTAGAGGGTCTCTCACACCTGCCTTCACACACGGTACAGAGTGGTAGACACACCGGGCTTTAAGAGGTGGTACTCTAGGTCTTGTTCTGTTCAGTTCGGTTCAGAGCAGCAGATTTTATTTTGTGATTATATTTCTAGTGCAGGCTGGTAAGTGATGCAATAACTCCAGATTAGGAGGCCTCTTTTTGTCTCAATTGTTTCATTGTTTTGAGCAGCATCTGCTGCCTCAGTTTGCCCTGCCTCCCTTTTATGTTTATCTCCACTTGTTATGCCTACCTGCTCAAAGCTTTTGAAAGCCTTCCAGTTCATGGCAATAAATAGCTTTTACTAAAACCTATACATCAGGTTATTTACGTTGCCTCGCTTTCCCCCAATGAGCTGGGTCATCACACTTTTAACATCTGCTTTGCCAGAACTTGCCTTATTTGCTGAAACGCTTCGCTGCTTGTCTGGAACATGTGAAACCTTCTTGGAAAGCAAAGGCCTCAGCTATCCCGAACTGGGAGACCTCGATTGGCTGGAAAAGTTTTATTTCATGGTGGATATGGCAAGTCACTTAAGTGCGCTGAATAAAAATCTCCAGGGAAGGGGAAGCACGGCCCTGCAGTTGCTGGAGGATGTTCTGGCGTTTGAGCGCAAGATAATAGTGTTTGCCAGAGATGTACAAAAAGGTACGCTCTCTCTCTTCCCCTCCCTGAGAGAGTTCAAAGAAAATAATCAAATAAATTGTGATTATTTACACCTTGCAATTGTGGCAATGCAAGCTGCATTAGGAGAAAGATTCAGCGAGTTCAGAAAGGAAAAAACACTCTGTCCTTCCCTGTCACACCGCTGGACATTGACCCACCCCTGCTGAAATATCCACATTCACAGAGATAAGTCAGCCCGATCTTGAAATTGAACTGGCCAACATAGCGGATAAAGACTTATGGGTATCCAAGTTCAAAAGCCTGACAGCGGATCTCAAAGAAGTCGCCCATCAGAAGGCCAATCTCACTAAACAGCACAAATGGAATGATAATGAAATCCTCCCCAAACCCGACAAACTTGTTTTTGAAACATGGAGTGCCATTCCCGACACGTATATGAACATGAAAAATATGCATTTGGAGTCCTCTCCATCTTTGGCTCAACATACTTATGTGAACAAGTTTTCTGGAGCATGAACTTCATAAAGACCAAATATGGCTCCCTCCTCACAAATGAGAGCCTACAGTCCTGTGTGAAGACCAAAGTCACATCTTCCAGCCCTGACAGGGAAGATCAGCATCAAGCTTCAGAAGCAGAAGGCACATTAAACAGGTGAGAACACTAGCATTTAATAGAATATTATTTTTCAGAAAAAAACATTTATTTCAGACCCAAAGCTGATGTAGTTTTTTTTATTGTATGTTCAGGTGCTTTGGTTGACTGCTGGCCGAGAAAGAAACCCGAAGAGGATGAGAGCAGACTGAAATGGACTTGTCAAAAAAATGTTCCTAATTTTATGTTTACTTTTTTAAAACTGCTAAGCTGCAACTATATGTTTTTTATATTAAAGTGGGCTATGTTTTATTTTAATTTTACATAAATACAGGAAGGACTCTAAAGGCCTACATAGTTCAGTGTTTAATTTATTTCAAAGTAGGCCTACACATGCACATTGCACTTCAGTTTGTTGTATTCTGTTGTTGTAACAGATAAAATAAAAAAAAAAGATTAAACATTTTTAAAAGTTTATAAGCTGTGTTATGTTTTGCGGCTCCCGCAGTTTTTCCTTAGTGGAAGAGGGGGCAAAATGGCTCTTTTGATAGTAAAGGTTGCCCACCCCTGGTCTAGATTTACACTTGTATACTGCAGCCCACAGTTAATGCCTCCCAGAAACTACAGTATCAAACAGACATGTTAAATTTGGTAGGACAACGAACATCCGATTGGTTTGGTTCTTATCCCGATTCACACCAGTGATCTTGACCATTTATAGTCTTCAGATAAATCTGAATAGTCTGGGGAAACCAGACCGTAGCATGTGGTTAAAGGTTAATTTTAGTGTATTATTTATGTAACCCTGGCCATCAGTTATAACATATGACACCAAAAACTGACAAAATGAAGATTAAAAATCTATTAATTGAACATTTACTGACAACAGGTACAGATGAAAAAAAGAACAGTGGGAGTGACCTTTCAAGGACTGACCTCTGATCCTGTGTGGTTCTGGTTGTCCTGGGTCATTCCACCACCGACCCCTACGCCGCTGTTGGGGCGTCTGCAGTTACTCCTGACCCGGGTGACAGGACTGGGTGTGCTGACGGCGCTGCTGCTCTCTGAGTGGCTGTTGCTGCTGCTGCTGCTGATGGTGTGAGGAGAGGAGGGGAAGGAAGATGCCCGACTGTTGGGTCCACCCTCTGGACTGGAGACGTTCAGGAAGGTTAATGGTTAGAGGTGCAGAACAAATATTTTATTTAAAACTGCACATCAGACAGAAAATAGTTGGATTAAGTTGGAGAAAAGATTCTTTAAGGAAAATGAAAACCGCTTCAATATAATGGTAAACATTGTGACATGACCTTCTGGGCTTTTGAAAGGCCACAGTCCTCACCTTGATTGACAGTACAGTCTCTCCATCCCCTCCTCCTCTGGGAGCAGAACTGGCCCGATTATAACATGCCGGGCCCGACTGCGGCCGCTATTACCAGACTGGAGCAGTCCAGTTGTCCCCCTCAGCCTCAGTTTGTCCATCTTCCTCAGTAGACTGGTGCACGTCTTCCCGGGTGGTTTGTCTGAGAAGCAGCCCTCAGCTTCCAGACTTGTGATGGATGATCCTCCACCAGGAGAAGGGGGTCCACTGAACGTGGTGTCCATGGACGGGGTCTTGTTCGCGGAGCAGCAGTGGGAGGAGTTCCTGCTGGTCTCTGAGTCGTCCGTGGTGCTGGCGGTGGTGGCTGCAGAAGCAGCTGTGCTGGTAGCAACTGGTAGAATTTTATCTTCTTTGTTATTCTTGTGATAGCCATCGTGGCCTTCGCTGTCCATGCTGCTAGAGCTGTGGGTAGAGCAGACGTCATGGCGGTCACTGACATCACACAGAGACACACCCTGGGAACCAGTGGGGCTGTCAGACAAGTGAAAGATGTCCATGGCAGAGTCAAGACGTCGCCATCGTCGCATCCGCCTGTCGTAGATCCAGCTGGGGCTGATGGCACAGAAGTCTTCCTCGTCACGATCATCTCTCTGTAAGAAGCAGGAGGGTTCAGACCCACAGACAAGAGCTCACAAAAGTCTACACTGCTTTGGTGAGAACATGCCAGCGCTCGAAAATAAAACAGAGAAACATCCAATACAAGTCCATCATTGTATTCCATGTTCAAACACTGTTGTTTAAGGTTTTTCTTCACACTGGTGGTAAAAGTCTGAAGTAAGATTTTCTCTATTGCCACTGTCAACACTCACCCTGTGTTTCAACCTCCGTGGCTCCAATCTCATTTCCATGCATTTGTTTAAGGTGTTTAATCTCCTGTAAGTGGAGAAAGAGAGGAACTGGTGGTTAGACTAGCACTGACTTATCATAACAGTGGCCTGTAATGCACATCCTTTACATACACCACAACTGCACTGTAACATATTCTCATCATTTATCAGCAGGTTGTTGTGTGATTTGCCAAGGATTTCAACAGATACGTTCAAATGAAGAATTGCATTTTAAAATATGTACTGAACAACAAACAAACTTCTTGTTGTTCTACTTTTAATTTTAGAAAACATCATTTTTTTGTTTCTGAGTGATAATATTAATACTGTGTATGCTACAGCAGTGGCTTTTGAGAAGAGATGTCAGCCAGTTTAATCCCCTGACTGGCCGGACAAATGAAGAACAAGGAGCATTTTCCTCTCCATCACTACCACAACTGTGATGCAAGGCACTAAATCTAGAACTGCTCCATTGGAGCATCTCATTGACCACAGACTGTGGTTGTAGTAAGTGGCTATTCCTGCAAAAGACCATGCATGCTCAGTGACACCACTCACAGACCCTCAAAGGATGCTGCCCTACTCGTTAAGTTTAATGTTACCTGATTAAGCTACCTGGCATTAAGTCAGAGTGTAAAGTGCATTTGCATTACAGTCCACGAGCAACTCTGGCAATAAAGTTTATGATTGATTGATTGATAATTAGCTGACTCTGGTGCATTTTTAGTGTTTTTATAGACTAGATGAAGCCGACATTACTCTTATCAAACAACTTTGTGTCTTAACTTTTAGCAAGAAGCTGAAATTAATCTACAGTGAGTAACATGTCACAGTCCAGTGATTTGTTTTAAGATAAGCTAGCAGTCAGTCCGAGGCAGCTTAACAAAGACAGCACCCTGAACTCCTTATTTGGATGGCTCCAAGTGGAAATGATGGCACCGACCACATGCTGCAGCCTCAAACCAGCTCCAACCAGTGGGTTATGTCATGCCTCACTCTACGTCCACTGAACACACTGTGATTGTAGGGGTTAAGTAACAGAAAGTCACATTCTGCTCATTCAGAGTTTTATTGGTATTTTCTGAACATTTATATTATGGATAGAATTCTCCATAGAGAAAGTAAATAAACGGATATATTAACAAATCATTTAGTTCACAATTTAACAACAGTCCTCCATATCTTTTGAATGTAGTCTGCTATATGCTCTCTCGCAGGTACAGGAACTTGAAAGATAAAATTCAGAAGAGAAAGGTAGGAAATTTCACAGTATTTGGTAATTGTGATATACTGTGCATTAAAATGTCCACAGAGCCGAACAAACTCAAAAACTGAACACTACCTAATTTTGTATTTTGTGCTTCGTGGTGCACCAGTGAGTTACCTGCAGAACGAATTGAGGGCGTCCTTATCCAGAAATTGGTGATCATGCTTCGCCCATTCAGTATCAATGGGGAACCTGCCGTCTGACACAAAAAGACAAATGGCACAGTAAGACGCTGTCTGAGACATCATTTAGTCTGCGTCATCTTGGAGCTGACTCTCTGAGCTGTGTGGCACAGGATTACATTAACAGCCTCTTATTTACCTTTGAATAACTGCACATACTGAGGAAAGCCGGCCGCTCGCAGCCAATCACAGGCCTCCTTGGCTTCAATCTCTGCAAACAGCGAGAAGGAAAACAGTATTTGATTCAATTATAATCATTTCATGCTCCACCCACTTTAAGAGGGCAAATATTTGCACTTAATCAGTCATCTGTTTATGAAGTTTAATTACATTTGCATTTGAAAAGAAAAGAAAAAAATCACAGAGGGACCAAAAGCACATACAGGCTATTAATTATCTGTGAGTCTTGGAAGAGGCAATTTTAATTACTGCTAATTT